AGGAGGCGAAAAAAATCGCCATTTTCGAGGTAGCGCCAAGAGCACCCCATGTTCAGCCCTTACCAAATAAGGCCTAGCCTACATTTCTTTTTCAACATCAATCGCAGCACCAGTTCGAATCCGCCCACACGCGTTTTAATCGATTGGCTAGTGCATACCCCTGGCCCCTGCCCTCGCTTCACGAGTGACCTCCCCACTGTAGATTATTTAACCCTCACACCTCCGTAATACAGGGGCCGAAGGTGGCAGCACCGAGCCTTACTCCGGCAAAAGGAGACGCGGAGACCAAATGCTTCAAGGTGGTTCATACAGAAAATTGATTAAAATACCAGGGTAGTGATGGAGTGAGTATACATCTGGCCACTAGGATGGCGTCCGTCGGAGGGGGCAGCAGCTCACACCTACCCCGAGCACAAGGCGCCCTGTCGCCATGTGTTGTAGCGACTGAAGAGAAACGACGCATAGGCACGAGAGCCCCGGACATCATTCGTGTCCACCCTGGCGGCATCAGCCTCGAGCCGAATGGTACAAACCATTGAACGGGGCGTGAACGTCAGCACCGACCTTGCCGCCAGCAGCGTCTCTCTTTTCAGCCACACATCAAAGCTGAGGGGTCCACAAATGCTCTCAGGACGGAACGTTCCCTATCGGTGGGGCAATGGAAAAAGAAAACGATACTAGAGTAGACAATACGGAGAGGCGCGTGATAAGACCACTCAGGCGCCTTGCCCGCAGAACCTCATGAGGATATTCTATACTGAGCGCATAGCCGCACTCTATGAAAAGAACCCAAATAGCCCTCAGTCCTAAAACGCTGCTCCTACAAGCTCATCCCGATAAAGACCTGGCTCCTATTCAAATGACTTGTCCACACGAGTGGAGGCCCCTACAAGAAGTAGTCACCAGGGCCCCTACGCCCAGCTGGTACGTGCCTCTGGTCGTCTGGCACGGCCGAGAAGATGCTGAACTTGGTGTTCAGATCCCTATCGACAGTCATGATGGAAGCTACGTTTCCGCAGCGGTAACAATAGTTGGGTGCGGACCACACTGTAACCACGGACTTCTCGGGGAAGTGGTACTATACGACAATAACAGGGTCAGAACACGTGCCGATAGAGGGTTGCTCCAACGGCTCAAGACGGCGTACCTTGTAACCCTCGTTGACAAGCTGATGCGCGCGGGCTATCGTCTGCAAGCGGTTGACATGGTTGAACTCAGTGGCGACCTTGTCACCAAAAAGCCAACCGGCACCGCGGGGACTGACAGCCCACGTGTCGATATCCTCTGGATCACTCCAGACGAGGTCGCAGAAGGCTCCCTCGTGGGGGATCTCTTGGGCGCGCGCGACCACTCGGATCTGGTCAATGGTCCTGATCTCGGGCGAGAGACCGCCGTGCACGCACAGGACGGAGCCGTCCACGATAGCAGCTAGCACCAGGAAGTCAAAGACCTGGCAGCACGCCTTCCACACTGATGCATTGCCGTACTTCTGCTGGCACTCCTCGTAGAATCCGTAGACTTGGGTGATCTGACGCGACTCGTGGTTGCCGCGCACCAAAACTATCCTGTCTGGGTATCTTTGAGGAGGGGCGTTAGTCCAACTACGCATGCCTATACGAGATCACCACCAGACGGAACTCACTTTGCTTTCAAGCACATGAGCAGAGTAAAGGTTTCCAGGCTGAAGTAGCCACGGTCGACAAAGTCACCAAGAAAGACAAATCGCGTGTCGGCGGCGGGGGATTGCATCGCGCCCGATTTCCCATCCTCTTCGCTACCTTCGACAGTTACTGTCGTCGTGGACTCGACTGTCGACTCTGCCCCACTAGTCGGGCTCTTCTCTGTTGCTGTAATGGAGCTGGTGCTCTTGATTTGTTTCTTGAGCTTCGGGTCTGTAATCTCCGTCGGGGGTTCTAGGTCCTCTGATGTGATGACCGTCGTGACAGTCTTGGGTGCCTGAACGCTTGTCTCGCCCGGCATGCCGCCTGCCACGCGGAAGAGCTCGAGAAGGTCGTAAAACTGGCCGTGAATGTCTCCGCAAATCACAACAGGGGTAACAACCGGCTGAATGTTGGACTCTGTACGCGAGTGAGCCCGCAGGCCGACATTGTCAGCAGCTTAACGGCTTTCTGTGAGCGATAGAAGGACAGGCAGTCAAGGGTGGCATACCCTCCATAAGGGCCTCTTTAACCATCTCGCACAGCTGCTTCATTGCAGGCTCGGGGAGGTAGTGACACCTCTTAGCCTCTTCCAGCCACTCGTCCAGGCCAGCGCCGGGCTGCAGCTGGGCCGGGCCCGGCTTTGGGACGCTTGCTGCCATGGTGCGTGGAGTTTTGTGAGGTGTCGGCCTGCGATGGGTCAAGGACCGGCCGGGAGAATGGTGTGGGGAAAACACCCCGAATTCGAGCTCTCGGCGTAGCGTCTAGCTGGCAGGTGCTCGACAGAGTTGTGTGCGTCGGCTTGCGACAGTTGAGAGCTCTGAGGGAGGGTAAACGAGGGAGGGTAAACGAAGGAGCGCCGCTCTGTCGGCTGGTTTGCTCGTGGTCGCGGGTCGAGGAAATGATGATCACGGCACGCTCAGCGTCCCAATCACGGAAGACATGCACTTTGTCTCTGCAGGTCGGATGGGCGCCCTAGCGCGCGAATTGGGTTTCTCGTCGGTGGCGGTTCGCGGTTGCACCGTGGCGCGGCGTTTTCCCCGCCAAGATGCTGGTCGATCTCAGGCTCTCCTGGGCCTGCGGTTGCTCCTCTCACCTTGCGCGGCGATTGGATTGGTTAAAGTCTAGGTTGAGCGAGAAGCAAGATCGAGTGTAGCGACGGGTCGTTATGGTTAATGCCGACGTCCGGCTGAGGTAGGTTCGAAGTGATGTGTGAGGTTGCCGCTGTTGTCGCAGTCGTCGTGCTTGGATGCCCACCAGTCGGCGGATTTTAGCGGGGTCGTGGGGGACGTTCCCGGGGCTGGCCGTGGCTCAAGTGCGTGCTATCACCGTGCGGTGCAGCGGTTCCTAGGTAGGTGCTTGCAGGGCGTGTGCTGAGCTCAGCCGCCCCTTCCCGTGGGCCCCATGTATACCACCTCTCCATTGGCCAGCCCGCCGGGAACCAACCCACGGACCAACAATTCTCCTAGCCAAGGCGGGCGACACTAAGCTTTTTGGGGCCAGGAATTTCACCTTGTGCCAGCTCCAACGCCATTTCCTAGTATGACGATGACTCGAGTCGTAACATATCGACCACCAACAACAAAAGTCCAGTTCGTGTCCTTTTCTGATCTGACAGCGCCGGGGATGACCGCCCTCAGAGCCCAGCCAGTGCGGAATCCGAGATACATCGAGCTTCCTGGACCTTTCCGACGCGCTCGCGCATTTGTTGGCCGTCGCACTTCAATTCGCGCACTGGCCTTCACCGCGCTGCCCACCTCACCTTGCCGGGACGCATCCCAGGCTGACACCAAACACCACCCACTAACGTCCTCGCAGCCAACGCGAGATAGAGAGAAGCCTCGCTGGTAGACTCGCGCGACCCGAAGGTCTGGAGGCGGGTTGGCAAGGACTGGATATAAAAGTCCCGCTCCCAGCGCGTCTCCTACCACCAACTACGCCATGGCGGGCTCGCAGGCAGGCCCCAAGACGGCCAACGGCGTGCTTCCCGCACCCCAGGCAAAGCCGCATCCCCAGGCCTGCGCGGGTGCATCTTCCAGGTCTGGCAAAGGCAAGACGCCCGTCGAGGGCCAGAAGGTCGTCCTCCGCCGCCTCCCTCCGGGCATCACGGAGCAGGAGACCGTTTCCTTTCTCAGTGACGAGTGGAAGCCCGGTGGCGCCAAGGTCGGCTGGTTCTCGTTCCAGGCCGGAAAGATCTCAAAGGAGTATGTTCGAGCCTTGTCACCCATTATTTTTAAGACTTTATGCACTGCTAACCATGAGAAACAGCCCTGCGAAGCCGTCAAGGCCGTCACGTGCTTATCTCCACGTGCTCAAAACCGAACAGGTGATGGGACTGGTCGAACACGTCCGCAATACGGAGTGGCTTGATGCCAAGGACACCTCGGCCAGCTCCTGTCTGGTCGGCCCTCCCATGTTAGATATCTCCATCTACAAGAAGGTCCCCAGCGGCAAGGTCCGAGCAGACGCCCGCGCCGGCACGATAGACCAGGACCCGGAGTTTATGGACTTCCTCGAGGCTCTAGCCAACCCCAACAAAGATCCCGAGGCCGACTACACGGCCGAGGAGGATGAGAAGCTGATCACCAAGGCTTCGTCTACCCCCCTGATCGATTACCTTCGCGAGAAGAAGGCGAACAAGGCCAAGGAATCTGCCACAGGCAAGTCGGGCAAGCATTCCCGCCACGAGTCTGGCACTGCCAAGGGCAGGTCTGCTGAGGACTCCAAGAAGAGGACCAAGGATTCCAAGACGGAGAAGTCGACCGAGAAGCCGAGAGAGAACGTCAAGATTCTCACCAAGAAGGCCGCCGTCGAAGCTGCCGCCGAGGCTGCCAACGCAGTCGCCAGCAAGATCATAGCCTCCAAGGAGAAGGAGGAGCTCACAAAGACGGGCCGACGGGCCGGTATTGCCGCCGCCGCCCGGATCCTGCAGAGAGATCTCGGCCTCAGCCCTGGTAACGCCCATCGCAGAGCCCGTCAGGAGGCAGCCAAGGCCGAGAGCGAGGTCAAGGAGTCAACATCGTCATCCGCCACAAAGGAAACGACTACAGCAAAGGAGAACGTCAGGGCAGCCTCCGCAGCCTCTACTACTGTCGCCTCTCCTACTGTCAGTGAGACTGCGACGGCGGCGGCGCGACCGTCGACCCCGACCACCCCCAAGGCCGCCGCTGGTAGCTCGCCGCGGGGATCACGTGGCAAGAAGGGTGCGGCGGGTGAGAAAGAGAAAGGAGGAAGGGAAAAGAAGGGAGCGACAGACAGGTCGGGTGAGGCGTCATCTGCTACGACCCCGAAGGTGCCTATCGCTATCCTCAAGAAAAAAGATCGGGAGGAGAGCAAACAAGAAGCTGCGCCTCCAGCCAGCACGGCTAATGTGACCGCTGAAGGCAAGGCAGCGGCTACAACCACGAACTCGGCGTCGGCGACCGCCAAAGCAGTACCCAACGGGCTCAAAGCAACCCAAGGGAAGGGTGCCTCGGGCTCTGGGAAGAAGGGTCGCGGAGAGGGCCCGAGTAACAACACGCCGAATGTCAGCCCTGCAGCAACGCGAGCGTTTGTCAAGCACGCCAACCCCTCGCAAGGAGTCACCGAGGCTCTTCTCAAAGAGGCGATGCAGGCCTTTGGCACCGTCACTTTGGTCGAGATGGACAAACGCAAGGGCTTTGCTTACGTCGACTTTGCGGACCATGACTGTCTGGCCAAGGCCATCGCAGCCAGCCCAGTATCTGTGGCCCAAGCGACGGTGCAGGTGCTGGAGCGTAAAGACAAGGATGCGGCACCCAAGAGGGGCGGCGGTGGCAAAGACGCTGGTGCCACGCCTTCGTCTTCCAAGGCCGACGGCGCCAAGGGCGGTAACGGTTCCGGGGCTACCCCACCTTTGGGGCCTAAATCTACGCCCACGGGACCCAAGGCAGAAGCCGCTGCCTCAGGCGCCGCGAGATCGGCGACGCCGCCCACGGGACCTGCCGCAGACAAGGACAAGGCAGCAGGCGAGCACAAGAGGGGTGGGCGACGTCGTGGTGGAAGGGGCAGGGGTGGCGAGCCCAAGGAAAGCGGTAGCTCCAAAGCTGCCAGCGCGGGTGCCGGAGCAACGTCGACCCCGGCCGCGCCATCTGCTGCTGCTTGATTTTTATGGCTGGCCTCATTCGGACAAAATTGAGGCCATGATGGGAAATCCCACGAAAACCCGCGACGGCTGCCTGTATCCCCCATGTCCACTTTGATCAATGGACAGCCAGTTCCGCTCCGGCGGACCCTTGACCACTGGTTATCTTTGTTGCCAAGCTTTGGAGACACATTCGAGCGTGTTATCCTGGTAAGTCTCCTTCCCCCCCTCTACTTCCTTCCGATTTCCTAGTTCCTTTTACTTTATTCTTTTTTTCTCGTTGATTCTGAGCTAACAAACTCCAGCACAATGCTGTTGGCCAACCCCTGGGCATGCGGCCATGGTTCAGTCACAAACACGCCCCCTTGGCATCACACCTGCATCCACAGACCGTCGGGCCTCAATTGCCAATATTAGGCCGCATGTGGCTGGATCGGACCAACCACGTCTCGATCGCATCAAGGTATCGCCAAGACCTGCCCCTTTCGCACACAGTAGTGATGGCGCAAAGCTGGGGTTAGCTTCCCCTCCTTGCCCTTGTCTAGATCTCGGAAGATATAGGAGGATTCGGGAAGCAGTGGCCCATGCGGCCATGACGCGGCCGGCTGGCGTGACGGTTCTGGAGACACAGGCCTGCAACGTGTGGGGGAGGGGACGATGGATTGTCAGAAATGGAAGGTCACCTATTTGATTGCGGTGGTTTTTGGGTTGTAGTAGCTGCTATTCTCGGGACAGGCTCTTGTTCTCGAGGGCAGAAAGGCTCGGCTTAACAAGTACCTTGGTACCAAATACGTTCAAGAAGCATCGGTATTGCGACCTGACACGTCTCGGCTGTTGCTTGTCTATCTACCGCTGTGTCTGGTTTACGGCTGAGCAGCCTGCCCAGCAAGGAGGCTGCTGATAGCGACGCGTAACGCAACGGATGACTCCTCTCGAGGTCCTAAAGTCCTAGCTAGTTTTGGCAGACCTGGGCGGGGTTTGGGGGGCGGCAGGAAAATTCTGCTCTCGTTTTTTTTTTTTTTTCTGCTCACGCGCAGACACGATGTTGCAAAACGACACATTCGGGACTATGTGTGTATGGTATGAGCAGGCTGCCTGCGCCGACCCGACCGACCCCTCCGTAATTACGATTCATCCGCCAGAAAGGTGCGGGCCTCTTTACGTGGTCTAGCGACTTGGGAGGGGGCGCGTGTGTGTAAGCGGGGATTGAGGCTTGGCGCAGGCTGTTGGTCGACTTTTCTTTCGCCGTGGTGCAGCCCACACAGCCCGTTTTCTCTGGCTGGAAATCTGCCTCGCTCTCGACGCCGAGGCAATCGCGTCACTCCACATGCAGCGCACGTTTCACGTCCGGATCTACGGTTGGGCCGTAGTAGCGAGACGTTCTGCTTGGTCCGTTTTGGTGTTTTTCGGGCTTGGTTTCTTGAATCGTTTTTTTGTCTGCTGTTATTGGCCCCTGTGGAGATCATGGGACTAAAAAGAGCACGATCATAACGGCATCTCCGCCCATTCGAGCCCGGCGGCGTCGGAATCCACCAACATGGTCATTTTTCATTGAGCACTGGCCACGACGGCCCGCTCCCGGGAAAGAAACCGAATGGCATCAAATGCCAAGGGTTCCCGGACACGCAATGCCTACGGATCGATGGATTGCGTCACCGCCGGTTTGTCGATCGAGGCGAGCGCCTGGATGTGGACCGGGCTATCCTGGTGTGGTGGTTTGACAGCTCGAACTTGACTTGTCGTCTGCGCCTGATGCGGTGAAAATGGCCCAAAGTCCAGAGCGCTAAAAATGGCACAGTGAGGTGATTGAGGGTGCCCAGAGAAAAGTGTGGGGATTTGCACACACGCGTTCCAGCCGAGGCCGCCGGTAGTTTGTGCCTGGAGGGATGAAGGAATCAATAAATCATATCTGATCAGCGACCCTATCAATCAATCCATCTATCAATCAGCCGCGTTCCTTCAACGCTGTTTGAAGCATCACTGACATGGCCAGATTTGCCGATTCACCCCCTGTGTGTAGGCCACCCACCGCACCAATCGAAGGAGGAGGGCGCCAGCTCTTACTCCACAGTCCACCAGACACACAGCGGCCTCCCAGCGAGGGCCAGTCACAACGAGGCGGCGGCTGATGGAGGCTGGGCTGAGGCGCTGACACCCTGCTCCCTGATCGCTGGCCCCACCCCTGCTGGCTGTGGTGGCTTTCGTGCCACAGACTTTCAATGATTTTGACCCGACTGGCTGGCTGCACCTGCAAGCACGCACTACTTTTTCTCTGGGAGGCTCAACGGCACGCCGCCGAGCCTTCTGAGGGGTAAAAGAAAAGCTACACTTACTGTGCACCACCTCGAAGCTTTGTTCGCGAGCAAACAATATTGCCTGCCTTGCAATCTGCCGCTTCTTGCTCCCTCCGGAGCATCCTCTGGCAGCCTTGCCAAGCATAGCCCCCATGCTCACACACCACACACCCCCACCATCGCCTGAGACATCCCAGGCCACCCCGCCAAACCACCTGCCCTACCCCTTGCTTGTCAAAAGACAGCCCGGAGGGAAACATGAGGGCCAGCCCAGGCATCAGGTGGAGGCAAAAGAGTCACCCCCAAAAGCCTCTCCAGCATTTTTTTTCTTTCCTTTGTGTGCCTACCCACCTGGAGGTATGGTATGTACCTGCACTTTGGTGCAGGTAGACACACAAAGACGCCCAGGGCGGTGTTGGGTGGCGCCGTACCTGACATGGTCAGTCGGGCCCTGCGCCGGTTCATGTCGCCATGACCCGTCCCGTCGTGCTAGTACGTCTGTACGTCACTCTCTCCCCTTCTCGGTGTGGGTGTGCGCAAGTCCAAGGTACCGGGCAAGAACTTCTTTTGTTCCTTGCGGCCAGCCCGCCGCCTACAAGGCCAGGCTCTCTCTCCAAAAACCACTCCACCCTATCATCAAAATTGGGGAGGGGCCGCCGTTTGCGAAGCCTCGGCCTCGAGTGAAGGCCGGCGGATGAAATGAAGATCCGGTCCCTTCTCACGGCCGCGCAGTTCGCGCCTACCGCCGTGTAGGACAGCCCTTGTCCTTCGATAATCATTCTGCCAGGCCACGATCCAGGCCTTACCCATACCCATGGTGGGGGTGGAGCCAGGGGGCGTGTGTGTGTGCAAGTGCGAGCCACGCACGCCCCTTCCCCCGGCCTCGCTCCCCCAGACAGGCAAAGCCATGTATCCCTGTCCCATTCTCGGTAAGTGAAGATACAAGCGCCTCGTTCGTACCCCGGTGTGTAAGTGCCCGCGTGGACGTCCTTTTGGGACCACATCACCCCCCTAGCCGGCTGCTCCTTTCATGGGCCTCCGAGCTCGCTTGTAGCCCACCTGTGTATATACCTCCTCCTACAGAGAGAGCCACCTACCGCCGGCTGGTTATAAATCTCGGCCCTGGTCCACGCCCGTGGTCTTTTGATCTCTTCCTCTCCTCATCTGACACGCATCAACGCACATCACACTCACATATCCCCCAGGCCACACCTTTGGGATCAGACTCGACGCAACTGCTACTTATTCTCAACCACCCCCCCGGGCTGCAACAAAAGCCAAAAGAGGGACGCACCTCCACCGGCCTCATCTTCCATCTGCTCTTCCTGTCGACTGCCTGCCAAGACATCTCCTGAAAGCGGCCGAGCACACAGAGCCCCGGGTCCTAGCAGCAAAACACAAACACAACACAACATAAACAAGGCGCCAAAGCCCGCTCACCGCGAGCCGAGCGTCACCATGGTCCGCGAGATCATCATCGAGACGGGCGACACGTGGTGGTCGAGCAAGCGCAGCCCCAAGCGCTACCACTCGTTCAGCCACCACCACCACCATACGCCCCCGCCGCCGTCGCCGCCGCCACACCACAAGGAGATCGAGCGACTCGAGGCCGACAACGAGCGGCTCCGCGCCGAGCTGGCGGGCGCCAGGGCGACGGTGGAGCGTCAGAACGCCGACGAGCGGCGGCTCGCGGGCGAGAACCACCGGCTGCGGCACGAGGTCGAGACCCTGCGCAAGTCGCACGGCGGCTGGGACGATGACACGTTCCGCCTGCGCACAAAGGTCGTCCGCCTGCAAAACGACAACGAGGCCCTCAAGGCCCGCAACCGCGCGCTCGAGGACACGGTCGGCGACTGCGAGGCCAAGCTGGGCAGGAAGGAGGAGCTGATCGCGCGGCTCAAGGAGGAGATCGCGCACCTCAAGGACAAGCTGTGCTACTACGAGTCGGCGCCGCTGCCGCCGAGGAGGGTGGCCAAGTGGTGGTAAAGGGGGAGGGCAAGAAGGGAGGGTGACAGTTGGTTTTCTTGTTGTCTCCTCTGCTTTCTTTTTTCTTTGCTTTCGGTTCACACTTTTGTCATTTTCTTTTCATATTTCTCCGCATATTCTGTTTAATTTCCTTGATCATTTTGGGTTGGGTTTAGGTTGGCAACTTTTCTTCTCATTCCTTTTGTTTTTCTCTCATTTCTCCTCCTATTTACGTTGTGCCCTTTCCCCTTTTTCGTCACTCACGCGACGGGGCTCTGTGGTGCTGCTGAGGGCGCGCGGGATGGTCCACGGGATCCCGAGGCCATCACGTTTGTTTCGATACGGGTCGGATATCTTGGAGAATGTCTGTCAGGCAGTCATGTCTACCTCCTATTGTTTCACTTTCTCTCCAACCATGTGCCTTCTTTTTTCAACCCCTTTTCCTTTGTTACTGTTCGTCTCATCGTAGACCGAATCGTCCAGATGAGCAGAGTTTCGATGGCTCGGTTTCTTTAGATCTGTCTCTGCAGATGTTTCCTTTTTCTTGGCTTTTACTCTTTTTCTTCGCATGTGTGCTCGGACAGGGCGAGGTACGGATGAGCTGATGATACCAGGTTTTGCTTTGGGCCTTGCCGTTTTCCCACGCAAACCACTTTTTTTTCTTTGTTATCTCCTACCTAGCACACCCCGATAGATCTGGTACTAGATAGCCTTTGCGCAACAAGGCCGACATGCTCCCTTGGGGACATGAACGCCCCGTGCCCAAGGACAAAAAAAAATACACTCGCTGCAAGCAACCGACTTGAGACGGGAAACAAGTAGCGTACAATACCCTGAGCTTGTGACACATGCAGTCTTTCGGCGAGGGACAGGAAACGAAAAAAAAAGAGAGAAAAATGGAGGCATCCAGGCATCCATCCCCACAAACGCCACGGTGAGTCGGTCAAGACACCCACGCGATCAAGCCTTTTGACACGGGACGGTGGAGGCTCAGTGCTCAGGTGTGGCAGTGTTTCTGCTCTCTTTTCTCTTCTTATTTCTTACGTGTGCGTGTGCAGTCAGGACAAGCAACGAACCCCGTCACGCGGGGTAGCTTTTGTGTGTGTGTGTGTGTGTGTGTGTGTGTCGAGGGGAGGGATGCGTACCACGCCGGCTGCTGCCCAATTTTGTCTCAGACACGGCGCCCCCGCTGCTATCCATTGTGGTGGACATGAGGATACGAGGGGTGGCGGTTTTCGGGTGGGTTTTTTTGGTTTGCACACACAGACACACACTCTTTTTTAAATCATATTGGTGTACTATATTTTTTAAACATCTGTCATTCCGCCGCCTCGGGATGTGCGCCACCGTTGTGGCTGAATGCCAGGAGGGTTGGGTGAGTAGACTAGAGTCGATGGAATAGAAAAAAGGGGAAAAAAGTACCAAGGGGACAAAAGCCGCCGTTGCTTAAAATGTCGCACGGCATTTTTTTTTCCCTCTCGTCATCATATCCGGGAATTTCGGCGCGGCGGCCCAGCGACAAGCCGTGCAACCCCGTTTCCTGGCATGCACCCGGGGAGGCTTATTTGATTGACCGGTCTGCCTGCTTGCTGTTGGCGTGGCAATATGAGAGGAAAAAAAGCAAAGTGTAAAAAGCGCCAAGTAAAAAAGCGTTCCACGATGGAATGCCGAATGCACAGCTGTAATCAGCAACAACATCAACAAAAAGATAAAGGTAGGAGGAGCAGGCACACGGCAGCAAAAGATCGGGCCCGGCCGCCCTGCCAGATGTGCGGTACATGTCGTGTGCAGACCACGGCTGTACATCTACAGCCCGCAGCCCGTCCAGGAACCCGTCCGTTGCTAGGACTTTCGCTTTTTTTTCTTTCTTCTTTTTCTTTTTCTTTTTCTTTTGTGGCTGACAACCCCGGCCAGACCCTCCCAATCAGAAGCATCACCAAATCTTGGCAGGTTGCGGCCCCTCCATTGACATTCCCCGTCCTGTCTGAGCCACTCCGTCGGGTACAGCATCCAGGAGGGCTGAAAGGGGGGCTGAAGGGCTGTGCAAAGGATCCGAGCCGCGCAGGGGAGTGAGGAACGGGGGGGGGGGGGGGGGGGAAGGAACCCAGTTCACCAAGAATGGAAGGGGAAGAAAAAAAAAATAGACGCGCGGCCACAGGCGCGCGCAAGCACAGCGTTTGGGAGGCGGCCTGCCTGGGCGGTCCAGCCAGTGAGGTGTCTGAACTGGGGTTTACGACACGGCCAAAGAAACGCATGCACAACCATTTGCGCCAAAAACAGGGGGCGCTCCTGCAGGATTCCGGAGGTACTGCTTACACCCGTGCCGTGATAAGGTGCTGAGTTGATGGGGGAGGGCGCATTGGAAATCAAAGCAATGGAAACAATAGCGTCCATACATACCTATGCGTGCCCGCCACGTTCATGCCATCACAAATCTCCACCGGCAACCCGCTTGGTCGCTTTGTGTGTGGGTTTTTAGGGGGGAGTATTGCCGCTGCGCTGCGAACAACGGTAGCCGAGGCCGGCGGACATACACGGAAAGAAGAGAACCACCCCCCGACCCAACCTCTGGGCTTGGTAATCCTCCCTCAAAACTCGGGACTGGAGGTTGGAGGCGTTTTCTTACATCCACGCCATCATTATTACACAGTTTGGTTATGCAAAGCCGCCAGCCTTAGCCTTGGTGTGTTGATGCCGTTTGCCGGCTGCCTGCTGCCCGCTCGCGAACCACGTCGGGGACAATCCGAGGCCTCAGCCGACCCCCGACGACATTCCTATGTACTGGCGCCAAGGGGGCTCGAGGGGGGAAGCAAAGAGGCGCGGTTTGTCAGATGCCGGTTCAAGCAGCTGTGACAAGCCATCCCTTGGCGCCTTCTCACCATTGTGACCGGAGGGAACCCATGGAGAGCTGAGCAGCCACCTTTTCTTTTTTTCTTCTTTTTTTTTTTTGCTACGGATGTAGTAGCTATGTACTTACATCTTACCACATCGCCTCATCTCCTGGCACATGAGGCACCGGACCACAGACCAGGACGGATGTTACACCCTCCAAGTAGATGCGCAAGGAACCAGGTAGATGCCCTGCGCGGATTGCTTACCTCGGCCAGGCGGAGTGGATCAGCGGCGATGTGTGGGTGGTGCGCGGTGTGTGTCTACATCAGCACACGTAGGCCTGGGGGCTCACCACCTTCATGGGCGGCGGCGGGCCAGCTGATGGGCGGGCTTGGTCAACCTTTGGGCACAAGCCGAGGCAAGGCTCCGAGGCAGCCCGTTGCCTTGCACCCACCCCCTGCCTTCTGCTTTCGTGACTGCTTCCTGTCCCGGGGAAGGAGGAGGTGAGGGGAAAGAAGGCTATGTTCTCTCGGAACCTGAGAGAATCCCTCGGGTGTTTATCCCCCCTTGTTATCGTCGAGGGTAGGCAAGTGACGGCAATAATCCAACCAAGTCCTAGGTCCGGGGGTATCGTGTCCCGCGTACCTGCCGAATCCGCCCTCTGACTGCACGGCTGATCGGCCAAGGAGTGTGACAAGCGCCACCCCTCGCTGTAGGACGACAGTCGATGGCGCAGGTTGCTCATGACGTACTGTACGTTGGCCAGTTCCCCATCGCGGCGGGCAAGGCTTCTTCGTGCATGTTTGGTCGGGATCAGGCCACTCGGAGATGGGGAAGAGAGGGAGCACGATCGATACAAGGAGTACCTGGCATGGGGATGCGTCGCTTGACCTGCACGGAATCGTGCCTCGCTGCGCAGCCGGCAGCTGCCTGCCTGCCTGCCTGCCTGCCTGCCTGCCTGCCCTCCCTTGCTTCTTCCTCTGCGTGCGGAGTCGGGCGCCGAGCGGGGACGTATCCCCCCGGGAGGCCAGGGAAAGGCAAAAAAAAAGAAAGAGAAAAAAAAAAAATGGAAAAGCCGGCCTGGGTGGTTATTCCCGATGACAGGATGCTTCCCCTCACGACGTAGTATGTCGTGCAGACCACTGTTCGCTGTCCTTGCCAATGAAGCGTCGCCGATGTGGCTGCCTTTTTCGGGCTTCACACCACCATTTTTTTATTTATTTTTTGGCTGCTTGCTGCGAGGTACGGCACCGCCTGGTTGCCTTTTCTCCAGTTCGCGAAGTTGCGCGTTAGACATACAGCGCTACTATCGATTCCGCTGGAACGGCCTGGAACGTGCGTTGGGGAAGTAGGGGGGGTGGGTGAGAAAGAGGAGAAAATGAGCACCGAGGCAGCAGCAGCAGCAGCAGCAGCAGCAGCAGAAGAAGAAGCAAGATGGTGGTAGCGCAATGCATGTCCGTTGTTTGACCACCCTCGGGTCCTTTTCAAAGAGGTACTCGGCGCTTGCCTCCTCGTCTCCTTGTGTTCTGTCTGTGCTGTGCCGCAGGCGGGTGCGAGGCAAAGGGCGTCGTCATATCGACATATTAACAACTCCATGGCATTGCCGGCCCTCCCAATCCAGCTCGCCGTTTGGTCAATCTCTGGACAGCCTCTCTCTCCTTGGTCCGCCAACCCATGGTTCCAGCCCGAAAATGACGATGGCGGTATTGAGTGGGGGCGGCCCGCTAGAGTGTGTGCATAACGGATCCTATCTCTCTCCGTTTCCATTCTTTTCTCCTTTTTTCCTTTTTCTCTGCACGGATGAGTGGTCGCTCAGCGGGCCCCCCCAGGTTCCGCCCCACCTTCCGCCAATCGCCTTGGTCGTCTGATTGAGCAAGCCCGGCGATCGTGATGGCCCACCTAAAGAGTCAAGGTGGGGTGCGAATTGCAGTCTGGTGTCTGTACTGTAGGTGCTCAGCCCTGTGGCGCGCGAGCGACCCAAAGGAAAAAAGCAGCAGAGATCGACGAGAGAAAGTGGATAGAATTCCTACTAGAGCCTGACCGGTCGCCGAACCGGTCGCGCACACACACACACGCGGTTTTTTGGGGTCATGATGAGCGACGATGGGTTAGGTTGCCCAGAGTCCTGCGTTGAGGGAGCAGCCGCCCTCCTGCTTCTGTACCTGGCATCGCCAGGCCAGCAAATGGGATCGCGGCCATCCGTGGCCATCCGGCACGACGCTGACTCGCCAGAGCTCAACCCACATCGCGTCCGGACAGAAAATGGGCAGCGGGCGAGGAAGCGGCCGGGTTGGCCAGTCGACCCAGCGAGGGCGGCGGGGAGGGTGTAGTGGGCTGAACGGCGAGAGGGACACGAGCGGTGCGCGGAAGGCACTGAGACGGCCGACGCGTGGTCTCGTGCATCCTTTTTCTTGCGAGCATCCAGGCCTCATGCAGCATGGCTGATCATATGGGATGGAGGGGGGGCAGCAGCAAGCACGCCAAGTGAGTCATAAAGAGAGAAGCGCGCACCTGCGTCGACGGGGCCTCTCTCGCAAGCTGCTGCAACCAACAGCGCGAGAATGAGGGGTGGGAGGGAGGCACTGGGAGACAAAGGGGATACGGGAAGGTACCTTTCCCATGCAGCTCGGGCGCATGCGGCCGGGGGATAATCGGATTTCAAGTTGCCAGATGAGAGAGAGAAAAAAACCAAGACCTTGCTGCCTAACACAATTGAGAATGAAGGCAGAGCAGATGCGCCGACGAGCTACGGTGATGGTGATAATGCGCTATGTGACTCTTCTCTGACAAGAGGGGCTCGCTCTAGGTAGCAAGTAAGTAATGCCTCCGACCGGGTGGATGCGAAATGCTCACCCCCGGCTGGCCAATCAGAGGGGTTGCTGCAGAGTGGTTTGAGTGGGCTGCGTTTAAACGGCAGACGGGCCTGTAGGAAAGCGACGGAGGATTTAAAAAAGACCATGAAGCAAGGAGAGATGGGAAATCCCCCCTTGGCTCGATGCAGGCAGGCGGCTGCACCCTGCACGAAACAAACCACGAGATAAGAAGAGAATTCCAAACGAGAAAGGCGGCAGCACCTTAGGTCGCTGGCGAACCATGTCCCTCCGCTTAACCTGAGCCGTCATGCGATGCGGTGCGAACCAAGCGGTACCTGCCTCTGATGTTTTTTTTTCTTTTCTGTTTCCTGTCGTCCTGTTCTTTTTTTATTTTTTTATTTTTACGTGCGCCGGTCCGGTTTTGCGAAAATGAGCGATGCGAATGAGACCCGCCAACTTCGCGTTTGCGCGTGTGCTACTCCTGCCCACCCTCTTCTTTTCCTCTGCGCACGCACACACAACGCATGCCTTGACATATCGGGTACTTGCCTTTCGCATCCACACCACCCAATTCGGTCGTGTTTTGCCAAAAATTCTCGCACAATCGCGCATGCTACGTTCGTAATCACCCACGGCGTGCGCGGGGTTTCTCGGTGAGCTTGCGTAAAGATTGGGCCGGATGCGCGGCGTCGGGGCAGCGAATGACCATCTGCGCAAACCACAGCCCTCAGGCCGAAGAATGTCCATGTCGATGGCGCGGTTTCGCCCAAATTCTGGGACGGACAAAACAGGACATGGTGGGCAGTGGCGGTGCTTGTTAGCTGCCATTTTCTGTTGCAGGGGCCGTCATCCGTTCTTGTCCCACACACAAACCACCGGCAGGACCACCCCGGCCAAACCCCACCTCGAGGTGAACCCACGGGCTGAATTTCGCCTTTGGTGGTGGTTGCTTTTTTTGTGCCTAGTGCTTCGAGTTGTCGTGCTTCCCTGGCGGCTTGTCCTCGAGCGCAGTTGCGTGCGTCCTCCCAGGAAACCCTCGATTTGAATGCAGGCGAGGAAAAGAAAAAAAAGAGAGAGAACAAAAAAAAAGACAAAAAAGAAACCCCGCCGTCGTGACGGGAACGTCGTCCTAGCTGCGTCAATTGACGCCATTCCTGCACCGGTCCCTCCCTTCACTGCCCCAGGCTTCTGCTTGCGCCGCCCCTGTCAGAGCCGCAAGCTAGGTGGGTTCTCCCGGCCGGGCGACCCGCCAAATTCCCATCAAACTTTCTCCATCTGGCCTCCGGATCTGGAAGGTTGGGCTTCTGTGACTTCTTCCTCAACCCCAGCGCGCCCAGCCCTTGCTCCGCTCGGAAACGAGGAGGGCAAGGGCAGAGGCAGCCTAAGCCGGGGGGTGCGAGGGGGGAGATGGAGCCCTGGAGCCCTGGAGGGCGTGATTCCCGGATGTACCGCCGTCGTACCGACCCAAAAAGGGTGAATGGTGGGCCTTGGGCTGTTCTTCCACACACCACCTTCTTTGCTCCCACGCTAGGCCGCCGAGCCACGGTGAATTTGCTCGAGCACACTTTTATTTTTCCTTTTGTCTTCCTGGCTGGCCACATACCACCCTCCATGGCTGCCATCCATTCCAAGGTGGCTCGATGTCAGCCCGGGGGTGGCCCAAAACGGGCAAGGCCTGTTTGGAAAATGAGCCAGAGTGAGCTTGTACCCCAAAGTCACCCTCTCGCCGGCGGTCCTGGGTTGCAGGAATCCGTCCGGGCCCTGGTCGTTGCATTCCACTCCTCTAGAACGAGAGGCCCTCCTGGGGCCGGAAGGGAGGGTAGGCAACAGCCGCCGGGCCACCCCCCCTGCCCGGTCCCCTCCCCAACGGAGTCATCGCGGAGAATCGAGGGAAAGCGATAACTGCGCAACCAGAAAGGTGTACTGTGTATGCGCCCGTCGCTGCGGCCTGGCACTCTGGCCGTCGCGTTGGTAATGCGAAAGGGCGACTGCCTGCTGTCTTGCTGCTTCTCTTAATAGCGCTCTTCCCATCCAATCTGTCGCCTTTCTTTTTATTTTTCCCTTTTCCTTTCTCATTCGCCCCAACCCCTTTTCCACCTTCTGCCGCCCATCTCACTGCGGTCGCATCGCCCGTCGCGCTGATATTCCCATTCGGAAGGACGAGAAAAATTTTCGGTCCTGACCGGGCTGCTCGTTTCGGCTATTAGTGTCTTAATAGCACCACCCTGGCTTTTAACTGCCCAATCGACCCCTTTTTTCCAAGCAACATTTGCAGCCCAACGGCACCCAGGATCTAGCCGACGCTCACTCCCCCCAGATCTGCCCTCCCCTTCTTCCCATTTTTCTTGCTCCCGTCTAGCGTTTGGGAGGAGCACACAGACGGGCAAAAGAGGGAGAAAAAAGAAGAAGAAAACGGAAGAGCACGCAGCCTTGCGGCCCACGTTTGTGCGTTGCACCTTGCAGGGCGTGTGGGACCCATCTTACCCCTGCACTCGCGCCGCAGCGCATTGCGCTGCCACACACACACCCCCCTGCCCACTTTCGGGCTGCCTCTTCCCTTGCGGCTCGCTGAAGGTTGCCGCTGAAGGTCTGACCAGGCCGCTTCGCTTTATATAAGTAAGGGCGCGCACATCTGGTTCGGGCACCAGTGCAGGCCGACCCTTCACGCCACCAGCCAAATCACAACATCACAACGCACCAAACACTCCTGCATAGCGCTGCAACTCGTGGGGTTTTCCTGCAGCCCTGTGCTGTCTTGATTGTCTCCAGCGTATCGCTCTGTCTTTTTCTGCACAAGCACACACGCAACCAACCCCCACACACCATCCCCCTTGCGGGCTCTGCCGCGCGCATCTCATACGACGATACACCGTCGCGGCACATCTTTACCCACACAAACACGTCGACAGCGACCACCACAATGACGGGCAGGCGAGAGCAAGACACGCGACAGCCCCACGGTGGGTCCTCTCGCCGTCGCGGAGGCGTGGCCAGCGATTCGGGCTTTGAGTCTCTCGACAGCGAGGGCTACTACCGAAGCCCGCCCGCTAACCACGCCACGCCACTGTTCACAGACGTCGAGCAGGACATCCAGTGGAACAGCCTGCCGAACCTGCAGCAGGCCTACAGGGACCTGTGGGACAAGCTCGATGTGGCCACGCGCAAGGACCGCGGCATGGCCAGCGAGATCAGCAAGCTCACTGGCGACCTGAAGAAGGCCGATGAGAAGTGCCACAAGCTGAACCAGAAGCTCGACGACGCCGACCGAACCAACGCCTCGCTCAAGCGCGAGAACGACGAGTTCCGCAAGGACAAGTCGGCTCTCAAGCGCGACAATGATGAGCTGCGCCGCGAGATTGCCCACCTGCAGCAGGACAAGGCGCAGGCCAGCCAGGACCTCGCTCACATCAAGGCGCAACGTGACCGCTACAAGAACGAGCTCGAGGACGCGCGGTCGACGTCGTCCGAGTCCACGTCGTCCAAGCACAAGCGGACCATGTCGTCGTCGGCTGCCAAGGTCGAGAAGCCCAGGGACAAGGAGCGCGAGGGACGGGACCGGGAGCGAGAGCGCGAACGTGAGCGCGAGCGCGACCGGGCCGAGAAGAAGGAGAGGTCTCCCAAGGAGAGAAAGGACCGCGAGGTTGCGACCCGCGAGCGCGACCCGATGGACTCGGGTGTCGGCCACCTGCGGGAGCGATTCGACCCCAGCAGGACGCAGCAGCAGGCTCAACAACAACAGCCACAGCAAATCGCAGTGCGCCCGCAGAGCCGGCGCATGAGCACCACCATTCGTCCGCAGGTGCACGTCGCAACGGCATACGACGGCAACTACATCCCGACCACCATGGGCATCACCCCGCCCACGGCCTACTCTGTCCCCCGCGGCGGCCACCCCAGCGTCGCCGTCCCCACCTACCCGACTGCATACACCTCGGACGGCAACTACCACCCTGCGCCGCTCCCGCAAAACACTCAGAAGTGATATTTATACGTTGGTCAAAAAACCCCTGAGCTGGGGCCGCGGCGTTGCTTGACTCGCCGCGCGACTCGACTGAACAAGGGGCCAAAACAAAATCAAAAACCACAAAACTCAACAAACCACGACCCAAAAAAAGACCATTTCCAATTTTATCTTTTATCCCAAAACGGCGACTTTTCCAGGATAGTTATTTCCCATCCCCAATGATACCCCCCC